ACGCAACACACAGTCCATTACACATTATACGTTGCAAATTCCTTTTTACTGTTAGTCGTGCTGATGCTTTACGATCCACAACATTGCGTGAGAACAGTAACATATTTTGCATATTTAACGAGTAGTCAAAATGTTATATTATTTGGAATTAACTTCAAATGTGTCTATTTCTGTTTATTTTTATTGGCTCAAGGTACAGCTTCTGCACAAAATCAATAGTTTTTCATATTTTCATTTATGGGCATGTTTATGCAGATCATGGTCTGGTTACATTCCGAATTATTTTATTTTTGTTGTTATGATGACATCAGATTCATTGTATCAATCAACTATACATGCAACTTTGACACAGACAAACTGATATTTCATGCCAGGACTATAATATGCAGCATAATGGGAAAGAATGCGTATGTTTTACTGATCGAATAAAATATTTGTCGGAATGTATCTTTTGCACAAACTTTCAAAATCTGATCGTTTCATTCAAACACCTTCATCTCGTGCTGAGCACAGCATGCTACAATGAAACAACATGTGTAACTAAAACATTGTACAAAATAACATAAAGAAGACGAGTACTGATTATTACAATCGGTTTGTTCAACAACTCACAAAAAAATACTTCAAACAGTGCTTTAAGTAGTTCCAACATTAGAAAAACAAATGCAGGTGACATTTTATATCAACACAAGCTGATCAACATTGATGACATTTATGTTCAATATTTGTTCGAATTGATTTGATGATAAGAAATTCATCTGGAGTGGAAATGATGACAGGAAAAGAAATGCAGCGATACTAACATATACAATACAATTAGTGTGCATGCATTGTATTCAACATAATTATAGTAATGTATTGGTAATTTTTGAAACTTACGAACACTGAAAATTATCCGTATGGCAGCTACTGATAAATTCTTAAATAAAGTAAGTAATACGACATGAAGAAATCATATTCCACCAGGTGTATTTTTATCACTGTGCGTATTAAAAAACATCCGAAAAAAATTAAGATGGCATTTAGGAAATCATATAAGACAATTTGCTCAACGTGTGCAAAACATATATTGAAAATATGTGACCTCCAACCGCGTGAATTTTGTTGTCAACAATCAAAATCGATCTAAACAATCGAAAAAAACGTCTCAGTATGATATTAAATTTGGGTACATATGAATGTTGTGCTTGCGAAAAGTAGTAGTCTTTCTATGACTGTTTTTATTGTATGGAGCGAAAGGAAACTGCAGATCCTGTCTTTTCACTGTTTGATGCCAGATTAGGTCAGCTAAAACAAGAGCTGTTGAGCTCACCGGCAAGTTTAGAGACAATCAACCGAAACATACTTGAGCACTTGATGCTAACTTATTCCGGCTACATATTTAAGTTCATATTTATGTCTTTTTAATATAGACTTTGTCGCTCTCAAGGTTTTGGAAATCGATTTTGGCTATCGTAGCTTAGAGCTGAACGGTGGGCCTACCAATGGAGTAAACATGAAAGAGTTATAATCATCGAAAATAAAGGCTTGTGTATGAATATAACATTCATTCAAATTATGAACGAGCTGAAATCGTTGAAACATCGAAATCGGAGCTGCATGATGTTTGGACGTAGTCATGGACTTTTGAAGAGATAATGCAATTTGAAAGGACCAATAGAATGTCTCTATTATTTCTCATCTAAAACTTGGAGAATTGATACAGTTAGTAACATAAGCAAGCGAAGGTGTTCCATAAAAACAGTAAGTTTGTTGAATTGTCATCTGGACACTGACTTACAGTTCCTCAGAATTGGTAGACAGGTGTTTAATCTAACAAGAAAAGTGCAACGTACTCGAGACTGGAAATGTTATGTATCCATGCAGATGGCATGTTGTCAGAGTTAATTAGGTTTACGATATACCTGGCCTTGCATCTACGCAAACGTTAAGAAATCGGTTACAAAAAATGGATTGTGTCATTATGACTAGGGTTCCAGCAGCAATCCACGATCATTTATGCCAAATGAAGCGAGCTATTGAATGTTTTGATCGGGAATACTTTCAAGACGTTCGGGCTTAACATGACATCGATGATATGAAGATACAATACCCATATAAAGCATAGATAGTCTTAATAACCCTTTTTCAACAAGATTAAAATCGTCAAGAAGCGAACTGAGTGGTCAAATGAGTGTGATGACGAGAGAATAGTTCGGAAACTCTATAAATGAAATTAAATATTTTCGATACATTAACGCCGACGGGCTCTTCCTGTTACAATTTCTTAGATAACATAGTACTATTTTCTAGCTGTCTCCACTTGTTTCTAATCTTTTGCTAGGGGTTGGAGAATTGCTTTTGGCTGTAATCACGTAATTTAAATGTTGTTTGTAAATGATGGTTAAGAACGTTTCAGAAAAAGCGCAGTAAAATCATCAAACTTCTATTTCATATGAAGCCTAGTTGCACCATTTTGTTTTTCAAAATAGGTGATGAATGGATAGTATACCAAAATAGCGCTTTTGAATATAACTGCAACACCAGGTCATTCCTTTCTACTAACTGTTCCATGGTTACAAAATCAATAAATATACATTCATTCCAGTAGCTCATTGTATACAACATTTCTTGTGTATACTTTACCATTCTCATGCTTTCCTTGGTCTCCATTGTCAGCAACATACACCCTTAGACCGTTTGCATAGCCACTCTCGACAGAGCTACATACAACTGACCATGCACAAAGACTGGGCTGTGCAGATAAACACCTACCTTGTCAAATGACTGACCCTGTGATTTGTGGATTGTCATTGCAAACGAAAGAAGAACCGGAAACTATCTTCTCTTGAGTATGAATGGCAGCTGTGTCTCGCTCGGTGCCATGTCGATCCTTGGTATCACTGCCCTGCTATCTTTCCTGGATCCGGTTACAATAGTAGCCATGATGAAGTTTGTGTGGAGTTCATCAACCACCAGGTGTGTGCCATTGAGTAGGCCGTTGGCTGGATCAAGATTGCGCAATAGCATTATCAACGCACCTCTTTTTAGAACTAACTTGTGCGGTGGCATTCCTGAAGGCTGCTGCTTGTTGAGAAACTCTAGCGGATAGTTCGCAACAACATCGTTGTCCTCTGTGACAATAGAGTCTGCACTCGTGTATGTTACTTCGTTGCCGATCATCAAGTCAAGGACCCTGTCATTGATTCCTTTGTCAGCATCGTTGTTTGTTGTGAGTATAGCTCTGTTCGTCAGATCTTCGCTGTCAGCCATGTTGGTAACATCACCATATATCTTGTTAACGATGTCATCGCACATATCGTTAACATAGTCGTTGAACAGCCCAAGTGCATCATACGGTCTGTTGAACACACAGATGTATGCGAACAGCTTTCTGATGTGGTCAGATGTCTCTGTCATTGCAGCTTCGCCCAGCACGTTCTTCCATTCACTGTCATCCTGCAAAAGATTTCTTGCCCTTGTTGCTTCCTCGAATGTGCCATATACAACATTGTTGGCACTTCTTAAGTCGTCGAATGACGTTGCACCTCTCACATTGAGCAAGAGCATTCTCAGATAGAATCTCTCCTTTTCCTCTGGATTGACCGCATACAATCTTGTAATGACTTTGTCATCACCCCGCTGTCGCAATACCCATCGGCTGTTCTGGTACACATAGTGATATGGAATGTCGGTGTAGAGATATTGTCTGATTATTTTTTACTGCAACTGGTATTATTTTTTTGGAACATGCACAATACCGAAGTGCTTTTTTAAGAACTGTGCACGGAGCACAGGAACATTTTGCAGACTCTGGTAGGTCCGATCAATAAACAAAGCTTTGCCGCGGTAGACAATCAGCTGATTATCTACAACACAGACAAAACCACCAGGATTTAACAATTGTGTTTTTTCCACCAAAAACTTTTCAGTTGGCGTATTGTCAAAATCTGGATACATGGGGTATCGACTTCTCAACTTATTTATAGTTTTGATTCTTCAAGAAAAATGAATGTTAGTCAATGATAAGAACATCAAACTGTTCACCAAAACGTCAATTTGATTGTGATGTTATGTTCTGTTACATTGACCAAAAACTCATTTTTACATCCATTTCTTTGTATTTCATTCTTTTTCTGGTAAATCATCTAAATATATTGTGAATGTCATCATAATTTGTTACAATGTTGAGGAAATCAAACAAAAGTTAAAAGTGCAGATATGTTATTTATTTCATGCATTTTGATTGAACGTGGTGGTGTTCATAAAAACAGCCAACCAAATAATGATAGGGGTTGAATAAATAAAAATAAAATGAAAATATTGTTTGTAAATGATGACTAAGTGCATACCAGAAAGAATAGATTCTACAACAACTTTAGACTCTTCATTCAGTACAAATACGTGAAACAAATTTTTTATTTTTCTCGAAGGGTCAAATAATTTATTTTTTTCGATTTATTAATAAGCTTCCGAGTTGTCTTTTTATTCATGCGATGATGATATCATCTGATGTCTGTTCACAATAATAATGAATCGTAATATCAGATGTAAAAACTACTACAAAAACACATGCAATATTTAGACAACACAAATCCATAAATACTATTTATTCATACGATTCTCATATCTGGGTGTTATTTACTGGCGTATCAACTCTTCCAGATGTCCTCTAACACACTTATAAAGATCACAAACTTGCTGTGCCATAGGTTCAGAGTTGTTATAATTCAATTTCTCAATTTTATTGAGTATTTCATCTCGCCTCTCAGAATAGCTTGCGGAGAGATACTGTCCAATATATCCATACAACCATTTCACGTTTTGTCCTAATCTCTCTTTCATATGACGTGAATAGATACGAAGAATCTCCTTAAGAATGTATTTTCCATCTAAGTGCTCCATGCTTAGATTCACATCCCAAGCAGCGAATAAACAATTCTTTGTGAATCTAATCCTGTCAAATAAACCAGACAGCAAAAAGAATAGAGGCTCATATCCCTCCAAAAAAGTATCGCAAACAGTATCAGGATTACTCGCACCACAAACTGTTGAGCAAGTATACTCCAGCTCGGAAAAAAATACGTACTTAGAAATAACGTTTGACTTAACTTTGAACACACAAAGAAGTTGTGAAAACAGAAATGTACGAACAAAGGAACGATAAACGATCTGTATCAGCATATTCTGTTTGTTCTTATATTGATCATCTCCTCTATTCCTCAGTTTTATGCATGATAACACAATGTTTTCAATTCTGCTGGCAATATAGATCGTGATCGCTTTATCACGAAGTTTTGTTTTTGCTACATTGTTGTGGAACTGTATAAAATATCCACAAAGGCTTGTAAACTCGGAAAAAAGCAAACACTTGTCAACAACTTTTTTTCCAAACAGCATTTCTAATGAATTAATAAATAAATTATCGATCACATTTTGCATAATAAAACATCTATTGCTATGATAATGCCTACAACCTACACATTTCACACTTTGACTACTAAAATACTCTGCCTCACTTATCTTCTCATTAGTTGTTAGCATAGAATACCCTTCATTGTCATAGCTGACATAATTCACCAGCAACAGAGAAATTTTTTTCTCACCCTCACAGCAAACAGCCACTTTATCGGAATTTAATCTTTCAATTGACACTGAAAATCTTTTCATCTGAACAAATATGTTTGTTCTAAATGTAATATATTCGGAAATTAGTGACAAACTACCGTAATTATCTATTCCCGTATTAACTATCTTTCCCTTATTTTTGTGTGTATCATCTGTAAACTTAACCAACATTTCTTTTAGATTATCAAAATACCTGGACAACTCCAAATCTCCTTGGTTATCCTTTGTTGTTTGCTCATATTCTTGAGCAAAATCTTCTCTATTATTTATCACTTTAAAAATGACATTTTGCAACTTTTCAAGCTTATTTGAGCGATCTTCACTCGATTGTCCGCTCACTCTTTTACGTTTTCTTGAGCTGCTCGTTCCCGCACTTTCACAATCATGTTGTGCATTTTTTTGTGATTCATCACTACACGTGGTCAACTGTGTAGGATGGCCGACTAATTCCATACCAGGATATATGAAAGTGTCACTTGGAGATGTTTCTGC